AAAAAAAAAAAAAAAAAAAAAAAATTGGTATCTAAAGAAACCAGGATTCATTACAGAAAGCTTTACTCAAAGCCAAACAGAATTCCCAAGTGTACTGTACTAAGGTGATCAAGCAGCATTTATTACTGGAACACAATATCACAAGAAATCACTCCTTTTGGACAGATGCACCACAGCAGTCATGCAGTTCAGCAAGTAAAGAGGGCCTCTACGCTACAAAAACTGCTTTCAGTATCAATATGGACAAATTTCAACAAGATAAAAAATTTTTTTTCAACATCATGTTGACTAAAAAGAGCAGATTGCAGAAACAACTGTACAGTATAACATTAACTACTGTATATTGTTTATATCTATATACATAGGTATATGTAATAAATAGGTAAACAAAACCAAATTCAAGAGAATAGTACCACCTAGGCAAGGAGAGGGTTTATGGTGGTTTAAACACACACACACGCCCCCCCAAAAAACCAGAAAAAAACCTTTGAAGCATATATGGCAAAATTTTGAAATCTTATAAAGCTGAGGGGAAGGTAAAAAGGTTACCTGTTAAATTTTACACTTATGCTTGAAAACTTTTTTTGGGGGGGGATACCTGGGATTGAACTCAGGACCTTGCAATTGCAAGGCAGGCAGCAGAACCACTGAGCTAAATTCCCAACCCTGAAAATTTCTTATTTTAACAAATCAGAAGAAAAGCACAGAACTGACCCTTCTGAATAGTAATTCAGTAATGTGGAATATAAATTGAAGAAATGCCCAAAATATGGACAAGAAAATTAGAAGACAGGATAAATATGAAAGACAGAAGACAGAAGCAAACATTCTGGTAAATTATATTCCTAAGTATTAAAGTCCAGAGCAAATGGAACAAAGTCACTAAAGACAAGCTCCACAGGCTCAGGAGACCTGGTCCTAAAAACATTCACCATGGAGCAGATAATTCTAATGGAGACAACTCCTTCATCATGCACTGCTGTTAAGTTTTGTCTCTTACAAACTATCAGGCAGGAGGAAACAGACCACCTACAAAACAGACAAACAAGATGGTTTCAAAATCCTCTGTAAGTTTCATTACATCTAAAATTCCTGATCATACAGAAAAATTAGGATTTCCAAATCATAGGGAAGAGGGAAACACAGAACTGTACTCATCTTACAGAAGAGTCTGAAAACACATGTTTTTTTCCTATAACTCAGTTGAACATATCACAACAAATTTTTATGTTACTACTTATAGGAGTGAAAATCATATATATGCTCCAGAATATAAATGGAGGCCAATAAGGAAAAAGTTCCTGTATGGGAGGGACTGACAACAGAAAAGTAACAAAAAGTGGAAAACATATTTTTAAATGTAAAAATTAGACTAATTACCACTTTGCATACTAATTCTATCGTAAGACAACTGATTCTCAGATTTGTTTATTTGTTTGTTTGTTTTTAGAGATAAGGTCTCACTACGTAGTGCAGGCTGGCCGATGCAATCCTCCTGCCTCAGCCTCCCAAGTGCGATTACAGGCCAGCACCACCATACCCTGATTTTCAGGTTTTTTAAAAGAATCCAACCACAGCTTTCAACAAAAGACACTGAAAAATAACTTTAGAAAACTTGAAGATACAGTAGATAACATAAATCTAAAATCTAACAAATACCCTAAAGAGAGAAAAATTTGACAACTCACAATAAAAATATATATAGGCTAAACAGATCAAATCAAAAAATATTTTTATGGGCTAGGGATTTAGCTCAGTGGTTCTGGTGCCTGTCTTGCAAGTGCAAGGACCGGAGTTCAATCCTGGGTACCAAAAAAATATTTTTTTTCTAGAAAAACTAGATTAAATCAGTAATGACACAATTAGCCAGCTAGACCTAACAAGAGAACACACATTCCTCTCAAATGCATATCTGAGAGGCCATAAAACAAATCTCAATAAATTTAGAAGGGCCAAAATCATACAAAATAGACTGGCCTGCTGGGTTTGGTGGCACATGCCTGTAATCCCAGCACTCCAGAGGCTGAGGCAGGAGGACTGCCACAAGTTCAAGACCAGCCTGGGCTACATAGTGAGAGACTGTCTCAAAACAAAACACATCCAGGGCTAGGGGTTTAGCCTTGCAAGCACAAGGTCCCAAGTTCAATCCCCCGTACCAAACCAAACAAAACAAAAGCAATGAAATGAGAACAACAGAAAGAAGTTTGGGGAATTCACATTTAGAAATTAATACACTCCAAAAATCATTAGAAAAATACTTGAAACTCACAAAAATAAATGTATAACATACCAAAATTTATGGGATGCAGGTAAAGCTTACAGTTATAAAGGCTATTGCTAGAAGTGAAAAAAATATTGAATCTGTTATTCAAATTTTTACCTAACAAAAAATTTTAAAAAAAGCTATAAAACTATCTCTTTGAAAAGATCAACAAGAGTGGAGGGGCTGAAGGGAGGGCACGGGTATATAGGGGAGAAAATGAAAACCAAGACCTGTCATGTAAAGGTGCAAGAGCCCAATGATGAATGTAACTGCACTGTATACCTAAAAAGTAACAATAAACTCAATGAAAAAGAAAAAAATCAAAATTGACAAAAACCAAGGGAAAACTATGACTAGGTAGGAAAATCCTTCACAAATTGAGAGCAATAAACAAAGCCATTCAATAAAGTAGACTGATTTATCACATTCCACAAAACTCTTACATTGTGGATAAGTCACAGCAGCATTTAATTCTCATGAGAATCCTGTAAGATGGGTTCTATTATTATCTGTATGTACTCATGAAGAAACTGAGAACAGAGAAGTTAAAATAAGTTGTCGAGTGCTCATCCGGAGCAGACAGAGGATTAAAAGTCAGACAGACTCCAGACTTCAAGTACTCATGAAACCAGTTATCCCACCAAAAACTTTTCACTGTCCAGAAATATTTTAATTATTTTAAAATGATAATAAAACTTTCAAGGGTAGGAGGAGGAAGGAATCAAGATAAAAAAAAATCTTTTACTATTTTTTTTTTTTTTTTTTTTTTTTTTTTTTTTTTTTTTTTTTTTTTGTACCAAGGATCAAACTCAGAACCTTACTTGCACTTGCAAGGCAGGCAGAGGCACCAATGAGCTAAATCCCCAGCCCCCTTCTACTAATTTTTAAAGAAATAAATCCATAAAATTAAGAACTCTGAAAAGAAATATCTCAGATATATAAGACAATATTGTATATTACACTTAAAAATATAATTCCTTAAAGTTTCTTCTAGGAAAATAAAAGATCTCAAATTCTTTCACCCGTACATTTCTTTTTTTAACAGGTACTTGTTAATGTTTATTGTGTTCTTAGCACTGTCCTGGGCACTGAAATTAAATCAAGAAAATTGCAGAAATTTAAAATGTGTAAATAACAGAGAAGAAAAGAAAAAGGTACCAGAGAATTAACTTTAAAAGTGGTCATAGACAATTTTTATGGAACAGATCAGATCATGCCAATGCATAAAATACGTAAGTTTATCTTGTTACATCAATACAATCCTGCAATGACAAAAGAAACCATGAATCTAGAAAATAATTGTAAATATTCTACATAAAATACCACCATTAAATATTGTCCAGTATACCAAATTATTACCATACAAGCAATCCTGGTTTGCTCTAGATATATACTACTAAATCTACTCATACAGT